AGCCGCTCTTGTTGCTGTAGCCAAGCAACCTGCTTTGTCACAGGAGATGGAGCAAAATGTCCCTCTCTCAGTTGTAGGTAGTGGTGGTATGACACGAAGGAGCTCCATTGCAACGGAAGGCACAACTCTGATTGCCGAAGCCGCACAAGCTGCAGCTAGTCAGCTAGTACAGAAACAGAACATTTTCTGAAGCACTTGGCACCCCTCTGCAAGTTTCTGACTGATTGCCCTACTGTATAATACTCCTGCCATCACATGCCCGACGCACACTTGATTTCAGGAAGTGCCACGGAAGTGATCGGTCGGAACCAACATCCACCAGGTGGGGGAGGCTCATTGCCTTGATCTACTTTCCACTGAGTCCTGAACTCCACACCTTTGGCCTCCAAAACTGAAGGCCCAGTCTTTGATCTACTTTGACGCCACTGGTCCTTTGGAAGAGTCCTTCTTCCTTGACACACCCACTTAGCCCTCGAGCTGCGGACATGGCGCGTTCTCTTGTTTCTCCACGCGGGAGCGAGCGAGTGAGGGCACTCAGCAGGGTAGACCCTGTCTTGCAGGGATGTCTCAAAAGCTTGAGGATGTCGAACCCTGTACTGTTAGTAGCTCTTGTCTTGCCCATCCAGCTACACGAGGAAGCTGAATGAAAGGGCCTTCCTTTCCTGCAAGGTCCCTCACTGGTAAGGATCATCCTTCAACCCAGCACAAAGGCTGTCTGCTCTTCTTTGAGGTCCATCCCACAGGCCGCAAAGAGGTGGCTAGGTGGCTCCTAAATTTGCTGCTGGCTCCTCGGCCGGCTCCTCCCTTTTGCCGCCCGGCTCCTCCGACAGCTCGTAGTTCACCTTCGCCGAGGCGCTCGGCGAACGGTCCGGACGGCGGCAAGCTCATCCACAGGAAGATGAGGTGGGAAAATGGACGGCGCAAGCTGAGTGGATTCAAGACACTGCTGCAAAATACCCTGTTGAAGCCGTCACAACATGTCCATCACCGCACTACCAACTGGAATCCTGATCTGATGGGAAGTATATAGCATTCTTTGAGAATTCTGTCCCCAAATCATCCATCTCTGTACAACAAGAAAAGGACACTTCCCGCCACTCATGAGAAGAATCCGTATTGTACATGTAGTACATGAAGAGGTAGATTAACATCCCAAGTCTTTTTGGAGAACTCTCCTTTTTGAGACCCAAACCCAAACCTTCTTCGATCATTTCTCAGACCAATCACAACGTCAGACCCATCTTTTCAGGGCTCCGAGTCTTGAGTCTGGACTCAACCCGTTTCGCGGTCCAGCTTTGGACCCTCACAACTCGTGTTTTGGAACCAACACGAGAACCAGGTGGATTGGAGGCCAAAAAGCTTGCCTGTCTGGCTGTCCCCATGTCGTCTCCTTACCTCTCATCTCCTCCAAGACGTCGATGACAGCGTCCGAGCGTCGAGCGGCGGTCGTTGGCGTCGAGCGAGACCGTCGGGCGTCGCCTCCGCGCACTTGTCCACCCAATCACTGTAGACATCAACGGCCTCTCGCTGAAGGCGTGACACCGCCCCCAGTTTTGGGAACCCAAAACCAATTTGTTCAGATTCTCCAAGAAACCTTTCATCAGGAGAGTGGCCTTGGGTCACATTTCATGGAGTTGCTTTTGATGGATGTTTTGAGGTCTCTAACGAACTGCAGGTTCCAACCGCACTTGACCTTCGAGATCCTTCGACCCGACTGGCGCGGCCATCGTTGGCCATCGGACTTCACCTCACCAGGACCTGCCGTCTCTCCGCCGTTTGAGCAGCTAACAACCACCGAACGAACAAGGAATCACCCCGTTGAACGAACGACAGCCTCGCCTCCCAACGAACGAACACCGGCCGAGTCGGCACCAGGGCGCCCGCCTCACTGAGGTAAGTGATGCCGGACGAGAAGTTGGCGTTGCACACGCGGCACTTCCTGGCAAGGCACACGGCTTAGGGCGCGTCCTGCGTCACTCGTCGATAACCATCGATTCGGAGAGAGCCCCCTCCGGAAAGAAATGGAGGGTGGGCGCGGAGCCTGGAGCGCCGAAGTAGGTCTTTTCCAGCCGAAAACAAGATCTGATAACCTCATGATGACCTCCAGGCGCCCATGAAGATTAGTGGGAGAACTTTGTCGATCATGCATCTTCCGTTGCTCTCTAGATTGACACCATGGGACACAGCTACAAGCCAGGTTCTGAACAGTCGTCACAGGACGAGCCCCCCATCAGACGCTGCAGACGCTGAAAGGACCTCAGGGATGCCAAAAACACGGCTTCACGTCCGTACGGGCCCCCCGTCTTCGTGTGGGCAGGCCCATGCGAAATGGCGTTTCGAGCGTTTCAAAGGTCGAAAAAAGTTGTAGCGGCCTTTTTTTCAGCCATAGTCGGCACGCTCTCAGGTGTTTCGGGTGTGGTGGCGATACACTCACTGATACACTCTATTCCACAGCCGTGGGTTCACCAATCCTTTGGACCGGTTCTTGCGGGATGAATTTCTTCATCCACGACCACAGCCGATCTAGCTGCTGGGTGCCAAAGATCATCTGCTTCGAGTTGACCGTTGGCCCTCTTAGTCCATTGACTCTTCTTCACATGCTTGACGTGTTTCACAGTCAAGCGCTTCGAAGGGTACTTGGCAGCAGCGGCCGACCATGCAAGTGCACCATCTGCACACAACAAAGAGCCTGCTCGAACATTCCGAAGCAAGCCTGAGGTCACTATCTCAGCACATGTGCACATAAAGAGTCTTTTACTTTTACACCGAGAATCGGGTCCTCCCACGAACCAGCGGCCCGAGATGGTGTCTGCGGCGCGCTCTTGTCTGACATCCGGCTGCCAAACTCAAAAAAAACAACGTCCGACGAACACGCGACTCGACGAAACCACGAACCGGCAAAAACACGAAACGACCCAAACACGAACCGACGTCATTGGCCCCCCCCCCCCCCCACCCCCCCTGAATGACTAATGGAACCCTGTCTGCTTCAATAAATCACGGGGGCCCGTGCGGACGTGACACCAAAAACACTACCCTTTTGATTCAAACAGACTTGGAAACCTCAAATCAGCTGCCAACAAGTAACGACAAAACATGGGCAAGGGACTTGACGCGTCCCCAACTCTACGAGTGAGCAAAATGTCCAGCCCAGGCCACAAGAAGCCGATCTTCTCCAGACGAACCATCTTCACCTGGAAAATAAGACCAGGGTGTGTTTGCCCCCAGATCCGCTTCAGTCCCCTCATCTCGGAATATGACTCCTCCTGACCATTTTTCTGCATCGTGTTGTAGCTTTAGGCTGATCCCGCCAAGTCTTTGGAAAACTTGTTGAGCCTACAACCACCACCAGGGTTGATTGAGCTGTCCTGCATCTTGTTCGACATGTCCTATCTGATAAACACGATAGTGTTCAAGTTCCGCAGCTCTCCAAGGAAAGCACCACCAAATGACCCATGACGCACCAACTGCTCTACTTCGGCCTCCACGGCCTTGAGACTCGAACAGAATAAGCAATTGAACCTTAGGAATCGTTTGGTGGCGCTTTTTGGCCGACCGTTTTTGGCCGAACGATGGCGAAAGAATTGCCAAAATGGTCAGCTCAAAGGGCACAAAGACTCCAAACGCTTGGAAATCATGCGTCACAACTTTCAATGACACTCAAAATGTGAAAGCGGATCAACATAGGCCTGAGAAAAGCGAAGACCAACCATGGGCCCGAATGAGCTAGCATCCATCATAACACATCAAAAAAATATGATCAAAACAACAAAACATACACATACACATCCATAAGATCGTACAAAACCCACTGATC